CTCCAAACCAACAGACAGGACGTCCATCACACGGAGGTTTCTCCCTGAAGTCTCTGCTGCTCTCTGGACACCACGCTGTCTCAATCCGTCCACACTGAATATGAGAGGGGAAAAATGAAAATAATAAATGCTTTAGACAATAAGAAACATAAAGTTGACTGTTGAGCACAATTGCATACAAACGTTAAGGGATTTTAAGATTCTGAAGTATTATGCTAAAAACTCAATAACTTAGATTATTATTTATAGTTTTGCTGAATAGTTTCATGTCCGCTTACCTTAGAAACGTAAAATGCCATGGCAGTGTGCAGATGGGGAGCATGTTAGCTTAGCTTGGTAGCTTCAGCTAGCTCTGGAACTTCCAGCTCGGTGGCAGCAGGTCCCGCCTCGGCTCTGCCTCTTTGCCCTTATTTGGAGTAGGCGGGAGTTGAACTCTCACGTCACTGTCGAGCTGTTAGTGGCCGACTCCGCCTACTAAGGGCTTCTCTGCAACTCTGCAGAATCCTATGGGTGACGTCACGGACCCTACGTCCATTTATATATACAGTCTATGATTCAGACACATCTCTTAAGCCAGGGTTTTTCAAAGTTGGGGCCGCCAGGGGGGTCGCGGAAATTTTGAGGGAAAGGGAAAAAAGGGGGTAAAAAAAAAAATGTAATATATGTTTTTTTAGATGTTATTAATAATTGCATATCTATCAATCTATGTGTCCTTTGATGCCCAATTGTTTAATATATTTAAAAAAAATTAAACAACACGACCGCCCTTCAAGCCAATCAGAATCGAGCTGTCGCTACTGAGAGTGTAACTGAGTTGCTGTGTGAACACTAGCTAGCTACCTCCTGCTAAAGGATCAAATGGACAAATATCTTAAAAGAAAAACACTATCTGACGATCAGAATGAAGATGTCCCCGCTGCAAAAGATTCACAGCCACGGAATACCTGGCCGTCTAAAACTCGGAGGTATGAGCCATCATACATAAAGTTTGGTTTTACCGCGGCAAGTAAGAACGGCCGTGATGTACCTAAATGTGTTCTCTGCCTCGAGATCCTCGCCAACGAGTGTCTAAAGCAGGGGTGCCCAACCAGTCGATCGCGATCGACCGGTCGATCGCGGGATGTGTCTAAAAATAGAACAACAATATTCAGTTTTATCGTTAATGTCCTATAACATAATTTTCCTGTGCCAGAATAATGCACTTGAACGCATCAAAGCTTTGTGATTGGCCGGCGTGACCCCATGTGTCGGGGCGTGGCTGGTGGGCAGGGCAGTGGGCACTATTTCGCTGACATTGTCCGTGTCAACCACAGGAGTGACAGTCCGCACACACAAGACCGCAATTATGGCAGAAGCAAAAAAGCCCAAAATATATAATTTTCACTCCGAGTGGGAGGATGATTATTTCTGTATCTATTCCAATTCAAAGTCCATCTGTCTCATCTGCAATGCGAGCGTGGCTTTATCGAAGAATGGTAATTTAGGAGCGGCATTTCAAAACAGTGCACAAACGCTACGAGATGGAATTCCCTCCTAATTCTGCCCTACGCTCCCAAAAGGGGAGGGGCCTGAAAGGACAGCTAAATGCACAGCAGTCCATTTTCACCAGGCCCAACAACAAGAGCAAGGCTGCTACCATAGCATCTTATCGTGTCATGAAGTCTTTCAAAGACAGCGAAGTTGTGAAAGAAGCTTTCCTGGAGGCTGCCGACGCGCTTTTTGGGGACAGTAAAAATAACAGTAGCATTTCAACAGGTTTTTGATATAATAAAAACTCAAGTTAGATACCGTTATTAATCAGCTGTAAGTTTTAGTTTGTTTGAACTTATTCATTATAATTATTGTACAAAATGGTATAAGAATGCAAACTTAAATTGATTATAGTCTATTATCAATTCAGGTTAAGAAACTAGTATTGCTTGCATCCTATTTTAAAGGCATTTCTTTTTATACTCTACTAAAATGCAACAAAAAAAGTGTTTGATTCTATTAATTTTGTCTTTTTTATTGCACTTTGGCAGCAGATTCCTGTGTAGCTTCAGATCTGAGTTGTCTTATTAGTAAGCCTAATTTATATTTTTGTAGCAACACTATTTTTATATAATGGCAAAGAAAGGGTTCAGTGTCTTTTCTTTTTTCCCTGTGTCATATGTGGCAGCACTGTTCAATGTTTCTTGAAAACATTACCACTGTAGTATGTGACGTGTGAATAAACTCCAACTCTGTATCAACAACACTGTTGTGTAACTTCAGTTAAATACTTGTATGTGTGTAGATTAGAAAGAGGTAAGATAAAGGATCTGCAGTATTTTATGAAGTATTAATCGTACAAAGGTCAGTTTTATACAAGTAGAAGCAGGGACGTGCACAGACATTTGGAGGGGCTATTGCTCTAAACTAGAAAAAGGGCCTCCCCCCCCGAAAACGTAAGAACTTTTTTTATAAAAATGAAAACCAGGGACCTTTTTTGTTTTGCGGTCCATATCTCATTAACATATCGAATGTTAGTAACTATTAAAGACAAAATGCGGACAATTCTGTTTTAATGTAGTTTGACCATTGTAACTGCTGTGCCTTAAATAAACTCACTAATTGATTAAACCAGTTCAATACGCATTATTCTTATCATTCTTTATGAGCACATGCCGGTAAGGTATCTAATTACTTATGTATTTAGTATTCCATAACTTAATAACAGAGATGGTCAAACTTAAGTTGAGACATGGCAGAAATCCTACAATGAAGCGGGACAGTGAAGTGTTCTCCCGTATGTGAGAGAGGGCGATCAAGAAAAGAGAGAGAGCGGTGAGGGAGTTTACGGAGCAGATGAAAAGACACAGAAAGACAAACGCAATAACAAGTATATTTAGGTGTTTTTTTTTGTAAATAACCGACGGTGTCAAGAGAAAGTAAAGTCCCCTGGGTTGTCCCCTATACTCTAACTGCCATGAGAAAACTCAAAATCAATAAAAGCATATTTAAAAACGGGGACATTTCCGGGGACAGATTGACCCAAGGATTGGCCACCAAAGCCAGGCAGGCACATGATCACCATAGCCATATGAGGTCGGACTCGGAGGGCTTTCCTTTGCTTTTCAGCTGTCAGATTGTAAACAAAGTCACGTGACTGGGGGCAGATGACAGCGCTGACAAGGTGTGTTTTATCGCAGCGAGACTCTACAATACTAATTGAGGGCTTATCATGTTTATTCGGCCACAACAGAAAGAAAAGACTTTCGCTCTCCAGAGGGGCAGGTCAGCCAAAAAGTTCAAAAGGGCCGTTGCCCGGGCAACATTAGCCCATACCTGTGCACGTCCCTGAGTAGAAGTGTGTATTTACCTGGTAGTAGGCTGTCAGTAACTACGCCTCTCTATTTGGACTGGTAGATCTCGGCAGACTGGCAACTTTGAAAGTAGCTCTCGGTTCAAAAAAGGTTGGGCACCCCTGGTCTAAAGCCATCTAAACTTGATCGACATTTCAAACAAAAGCACCCAGCTGAAGCTAATAAATCAAGACTTTTTTAAAAGAAAAGAAGAGCACCTAGTGATGCAATCGGCTACTTTTAAGCAGCAAGCCGGCGGACCTTGAAGGCATCATTTTTAGCATCATACCACATCGCCCGTGCAAAGAAACCGCACACAATAGGAGAGGATTTAATTCTACCAGCTACCATCGATATTGTTCAGGAAATGCTAGGTGAGGATGCTGCCAGCAAAATCAATGCAGTACCACTCAGATAATTCTGTGAGCCGACGGATTGGTGACATGGCTCAAGACGTATCTGCTCAGCTTTTGGAGCAAGTGAGAGCTAGCGAATATTTCGCTCTGCAGCTGGATGAGAGCACGGATGTAGCAAATGTCACAGAATTGCTTGCATACATCAGATTTATTTCAGAAGACAACTTTGTTGAGGAAATATTATTTTGCAAAGCACTGGAAGGTAGGACCACAGAAAGAGACATTTTCCAAGTTTTAGATGAGTACATCATCTCAAACGGACTTGACTGGTCTCGTTGTGTGGGTGTGTGCTCAGATGGGGCAGCGGCTATGACAGGCAAAAAAAGCGGAGCTTTGATAAAGCAGAAGGCCCCAAATGTAGTAGCAACACACCGCATGCTCCATCGGGAGGCACTTGTTGCTAAACGAATGGATGATGAACTACATCTATGTCAAAAAAGACTATCCTGCACTGGCTGAGAGAGCTCTTAAATCCCTGCTTCCATTTGCCACCACATACCTCTGCGAGTCTGGCTTTTCTACATTGAAGGTATTGAAAACAAAGCACAGAGCACGTTTGCAAGTGGACAATGACATTCGTCTGGCACTGACAAACCTAAAACCTAGGATTGATAAACTGTGTAGGAGCCACCAAGCCCACCCCTCCCACTAGTGAGGGAACAGGTATACACAAAGAGACACATAGTGAAATGACAAGGACTGTTTATAACTGAAGTCACACTGAATGTAATGAATAAATGGCAAAACAAACAAAAAATACTGTACATGTTAACTATTAATATTACTGTTGAATAGTATGTATAATGTTATATATATATATATTATTAAGACAGAAATAACTTAAAAAAATGCTCAAAATATATGTTTATTGTTCATATTACTGTTGAATATTATATTATTAAGACAGAAATCACTTCAAAAATATGTACTGTTGATATAACTGTTTAATATTTTGTTAAGAATATTTGTAACAGAAGACACAATGAATGTAATGAATGAAAAACAAAAGATAAAAAACTAAAAATGTTTACCGTTAATAGAAGAATATCTGATTATTAATTATTAATAAAAAAATATATTAAGAATATTTATTAAGAAGCTGTATGTTTAATTTCTTACATTTGCCATCATAATGTACACATCATTAAAAAAAAATTGCAACAGGGGGGTCCCTGCCAGAGGATAATGCTATATGGGGGTCCTTGGCATGGCAAAGTTTGGGAACTCCTGTCTTAAGCCATGCTGCTGTGTGTCTGTACAGGATTTGATGTGGCAGCTGCTGCAAGGATTGGACTTCCTACACACCCACATGGTGCTGCACCGTGACCTGAAACCAGAAAACATCCTGATCAGCAGCCGCAAAGAAGTCAAGATTGCAGACTTTGGCCTGGCACGCATCTACACCTATAATATCGCTCTCACTCCAGGTGTAAGTACGGCAACACATGAAGAAAAATTATTGTACTATGCTAATTATAACTGCAGAAGTCTATCCTTTGTCGTTTTACAGTACATGTTTTCCCCAATATAGCCCTGTATTCTGTTTGTTCCTAAGCCTGAGGTGAAATATGTTCTTTTGTCACTTCCCCCGCCCCGGTTGTGTCATCTCATTATGTTTGGCATCCTCTCTCTGTTCAGGTGGTGACGCTTTGGTACAGAGCTCCAGAGGTGCTGCTGAACTCTGTTTACATGTCCTCAGTGGACATGTGGAGCGCTGGCTGCATCTTTGCTGAGCTCTTCCTCCTGAGGTAAAGAGTCTGTGTCTGGCTCGGGGAAATATGTGGCACTGGAGACTAACATTTAAGATGTGAAACATTCTCCACAGTCTTCAAAAATCGAGATATCGTTTTATTTTCCTTTTGCATTGTTCCTTTAACACTCCCACAGACCACTGTTTAAGGGATACACAGAGGTTCAACAGCTGCAAAAAATCTTTGAGTGAGTATTTTTCCTAAATCTCTCTAGGTACTGTAGACTGTAAAGAGTATATTTACAGTTGTATGCTCCTACTATCAAAACAGGCATTTTAGCTCAAACATACTTTTTAAATGATTCGTTTTGGCTATTTAAAACAATGCCAATATTCACTTCAATGTCAGCAAGAATGTCTTCCATTTTTGGATTCATTGTGCAGGCGCCATTGTATTTGCAGGCATTAGCATTATTAGCATTAGCCCTGCACACCAACGGAGAGAGACTAACTTATGGCAACACAAAAAAATATATTGGAGCGGTGGAGTGATGAGGAGGTGTCGGCGTTCTGGCGATTTACTCGGAAGGCTTCTACTGAAGCCAGTCCCCAACTCCGGGGACTTCGGGTGGCAGTATACGCCGTGAAGTTGTTTGCGGCCTGCCAGTAAACCCAAAGCAGAAGAAGAATAAGTGACGTCATCGGCTTCATTTGCGTAATCTTCCCTCAGGGAACTTATTCCAGTGTGAACGCGATCAGCTCTTAGTTCCATGGGGGTACTAAGTGCTGGGAACTAAGTACGGCAAAGTACTTGATCTTAGAGACATTTGCTTTTCAATGTTAATAAAATAAACCTCAAAAAGAGGCTTGATAGCAGACACACTGGTAAAGGCAGCATGTGCTCAGTTTTTCTTTTTTATCCTATGTTTTAGGGTGATTGGTTTGCCCAACGAGGACGACTGGCCCAAGGACAGCCCCATCCGATACTCAGTCAGCTGGGGGCCAAAAGGCTCCAGCAGCAGGCTGCTGCACAACCTCAGCCCCTACGTCAACGACCTGCTATCTGTGAGAAAATCTGTGTTTCTGTTTCCATGACACGTTGCCATGCTTCACATTTAACACCAGCAGTTATAGCCTGCACTCGCAGAGAGAGGCTCTGTTAATTCTGAAATCATTTTGGATGGGAATGTATTAGAGCACTTTTGAACAAATATATATAAAATAAACAGACAAAATAGTCATACATTTCTGAGTAATTCTGATGGATAAATCATTGCTGTGCACTCTTAATCATGTTACAATAAAACAATGTCAATATCTGTGAGATTGACCGACTAACCTACGTTAGTCGGTTAAATGATAGCAGCTCTGTGAGGCTGTACTTAAGCACCGTGTAGTCCAAATTTCAGGCGATGATATCGTATATTGTAGAATGTTATTTAAAACACTTAGTGATGTTCTGAAAATATTTTTTTAATCCTTAAAAAACTCTTCTATCCTACTTGACAAATATCGACTCCAACTTTGGTTGGTGTTTCAGTACAATTACTTGATACTTTATAGCAGGAGGTTGAAAATGCTCAGATTCAGTCTGGAACACGGAATTAAAGTCAGATGTTTTCAAAAGCCAGTAAGCATCATCCTTTGAAACCATAAATGTCTGCTTAGTTTCAATCCATCCAACAGTTGCTGAGATATTTCAGTCTGCACCGTGTGGAATGACCGGCGATGCTATCCCTAGAGCCATATTGCTGGCATGGCTAAAAATAGAAAATGGTTGGTAATTATCAGTGACGTGCGGTAAGGTTCATGGCTGGTGAGGCACTGACTCTTTCAGAGTCAGATTTACAAATATTATATTCAGTGGCGAACCGTGGCCATCACAACTGGACCTTCTGTAGACACACCCACCCCCCGCCGCCCCTCCCCCCCCCCCCCCCCCCCCCCTCCGCGGCATTATAATGTCCGTCTTTTCACTGAATTGTCGTCTTGAAAAGGGTACTCACAACAATTCCGCAACAACTTCATCTTCACCTGTTGCACTTGTCATTTCAACGTTAAAAACAATAAAATGGCATGAATTGCTTCGTCGCATTCATCTAGATCCTCTGCCTCGAGCCAGTTAACTAGCGGGCCTTCTAGAGCACCCTGGAACCGAGGAAAAATCTGAAAGAATACGCCCATTGGCTACAAATCAATATATGATTGGTTGATCAAACTGTCAGTCCAAACGTACGCTCTCATTCAGTGCAACGGCCAGGGCATTCTATCAAGGATGTAGAATACCTTGGTTGAAGGATATTCTACCTGGAGACCCAGAACAAGATCTGATTGGTTGCTTTCTTTTCTACTGAAATGCTAGTGCATGGTCCGAGAAGGACAAACAAATCAACGTAACACTGTAATATTACAGATCAACAACACGGATACGATTCTCATTTATTCATTTTATATACATTTTATTACATTTTATTTATATAATTAAATCGATTTTTTGTTTGTTTTATCTGAGTGTTCCAGGGTATTCTCTGAATACCTTGAAGGCCCTGACGGTTCGCCACTGATTATATTCTGACCTTAATCGAAATATTCTGTTATTTTCAAAAGCTTTTTTGGTCTGATGTTTCGATTCATTTTAAACAGACCGTTCAACAAAAGGATACCCACAATCTAAATATTGGATTGTTCTTTCTTAGTAAGATCCAATTTTCATTACAAATATGGTCTTACCTTGACTTGAAGATGAAGTCCATGCTATCCTTCTGGACAACAATCTCTATTACTTTTTTGTAAAAGTCCTCCTTATCTTCCTCTAGTTTCAAAAGTCTAGTTTGTTGTTTGCGTCAGAGCCCTAGAGAGATTAGTATCTCTAGGGCTCTGGTTTGCGTCTACGGTCTACCGTCTCTGCGTAGAATAACAGTAGCAACAAGGACCTGTGGGCTCACGTGCGCCCCCTTCAGTGCGGCAGAGGTTATGGCTGCCTCCCCTGGTGCTTTTTTCATTGCCGTTGTACGGCGAGCCTAAATATCATATATACGTGAAATAAGTTATTTAGAGACTATGGATGGCGAGGATAAATGTAATAAAGGGATCTACAAACATTACATTGGTGACATACAGTGAGATGGTAACAGGCATGCGCTTAGTGCCCGCTTTCCAGACAGTTTCTGTGAGGTGACGCATTTTGAGGTGAGGCAGAGCTCATCTGTGCCTCACCTTACCCCACAGTAACTGGCTGGAGAGCGCTCACAAAATAAGTGCCCGCGCTCCAGCAAGTTACTGTGGGCTTACGTGAGGCAGAGCTCGTCCCTGCCTCACTTCTCATCGCTACCCGTAGTTGTAGCGGAGCTCGGCAAATTTGCTGATTTTGACTATAAAAAGCGATTGGAATCAATACATAAATCACATTTACAACACAGATCAGTGGAGACATTTTATTATTATTACTATTTAGTTTTTCTTTAGTTGTTTTTCCGTTACATTGTAGTATGGCCAGTCTATGAGTATGACAGGTGAGGCTCTGCCTCCCCTGACTGCACGTCGCTGGTAATTATAGCTTCACAGATCTAAAAAGTGTGCATGCTTATCTGTGTTTCATGGCATTATAAATATATGTTTTTGTTGTTGTTAAAAAGCATTACAGCAGCAGCACTGAGACTATAAACCTTCGGATTGTAAGGTGTGACCTCTCCTTACCTGCAGCAATGTTTGGCATTCAGACCGAGCCGCCGCATCTCCGCTGCCAAAGCCCTGACTCATCCTTTCTTCATGAAGCACTGAAGAAAGGATGGAACTCCTGCTTCTCTACTGTCGGCTTTAACATCAGTTCTCCAGCATCATTACGCCTTACTGGTAGAGCATGCAACACTTTTGAAGGATTGCTCCGGGACAGTTTTATTTACTTATTATTTGGCCAGCCTTCATATGAACAATGTAAAAGTATTTAGGTTCTTTAAATGTTTTACATTTTAAGTATGCTTTGTAATTCCACAAAACATAGTCCTGCTTTGTTGTTGATGAGTGTTGATGTTTTGTTGCAAATGACCAACTACACTACATATTATGAGCAACCAATGTTAATGGGTTTATGTTGTTTAAACATATAAAGTCATTTGTTTTTTATTTATGGTGTTATCTCTGTAATATTACACCTGTATTTATGTTTGTATTGAAAGGTTTTACAAGATATTTTTCTACATGAGTTACACTGTTCATTAGAAAAGCATTGCTATAAATAAACTTGTCTCTGCCTTTGAATGCAACACCATCAATAACTGTTACATCCGTGTGTATGTCTGCTGTGCAAGTATTACACTTTTTTATATATTCACTTTAGTATTTAAGAGCCATATTAGCAGGTTTAAATGATGTGGATGAACAGAAGGCATATTTTCTCTTGCAACTGCAAAGTGTGAACAGATGGGGGCACTGCTGACATAGTATATAATAAAAGGGAAAAACCAGCAGCATTATGAGTCCTCACATAGTCCACAATCCCCAAAACCTTTGGTATATTTCCCCCCCCCCCCCCCCCCCCCATTTATAAAACCTATTTAATCTCTAGAAGTATATGGATGTGCAGACAGCTTTGGTTTTACTGTAGCCTACTTGCTAAGGTTTTTGAAATATGTGACATATACATTGTTGAGTATGACATTTGCAACATGTGAGCACAAAGTAAAAACAAAACAAAGTACTGTTTACTTAAAGGTGCGCTAGAATTTGAAAATACACAGCCGGGAAAAATCAGCCACTTCCTTACAGAGTCCCTCCTCCAACACACACGAACGCGCACATGACCAATGAGGGCACGAGATAAGTTTGTGCACAGATGGAAGGTTGACAGGCAGGTAGGCCATCCAGTTATTTTAGCCGGGCAGGCTAAAATGATAGGTCGTGCTTTTTACAGTACTACGGCTTCCACAGATGACATTTTTTAATGGATTTTTTGTCAAAGCACTTAAGATATTCATTGCTATCGGGATGTTAAGAGCATTCCATGGGATATAACAAAAAGTGTATCTCGAGCCGGTTTCTCAAACGTACCTACTCCACCTTTAAGTACTTTTTTAAATGACTTTTACATGAGTATTTGCTACTTTGTACTTCTCCCCCACGACAATTCAGAGGTAAATTGTGTACTTTTACTCCACAGCATTTATTTGTTCCCTTTAATTGCTTTACAGATTTTGATAAATGGTGTGAAATATAATCAACACTTTAATCAGACATTATTACACCTGGAGAAAATTCACAAGCCCTGCTACACAAAGGAATGGAAACTAGCTTTCCCTTTACCAGCGTCGATAACACTTTAATGCATCAATCATTATCAAACATATCATATTATTCTGAAATGGGCCAATCTGCACAATAAGTATTTTGTGTACTCTAAGTATATGTTGATGCTAATACTTTGTACTTTTACTTGAGTAACATTTTGAATGCAGGACTTTTACTTTTATCAGTGCAATCATGCTCTTTGGTACAATATATGACTTCTTCCACCTCTGGATGTTGACACAGCAACACAAGTTTAGTTTAATAAGTGTAGGTCTTGTTTGATGTTGTTCTAGGTGTGCAAATGAACATCTTAACAGTTAATCAAATTCCTCAAAAAAACGTAAGTGAAGTGAACGTGGGCTTTGGGAAGTTATGCTCCTGTAAACCAGTCTATGCTGTAAACCCAAGCTCTTGGAGAGCAGCGTCCGTCGGTTGCCATACTGACGGCTGCTTCCTGGTCAGTGGCGGGGACGGGGTCGTCCCATGGTTTGTCCATCTATTTATACCATACTCCTCTTAATACGGAGCCCTCTACAGCTGCCAGTGTGACTACATTTGGAGCGACAGTCCGGTGGGGACTGCGGCGCAGTGCATGTAAGTACTGAATTCTTCATTTATGTCTAATTTTACAGCCCACAATGTAACCAGGCACCAACTACGACCAAGTTCTGAACATGTTATCACAAGCCACTCATTTCGATCACTGAACTGTTGTTTGTTTTGTCTGTCTGTTGAAGTTGGGCATTGGTCATGGGAGTGATGGTGTACAGTGACTCTGAGCTTGTGTGTTCACAGTGTTATGGAGTATTGTCTAAAGTCTAAACATGATATAGAGGTGGGGACGATTTGTCAGTAATGCCCGCACATGTTTCACGCGCAATTTACGCACGAGTTACTACGGAAAGTTCAAGAATCTTTAACCTTATGTGTGTGTATCACTGTTTTTAAATTGTTTCCCTTTTGGTTGAATCCTTTATGTGTTTGCAATGTGAATGACTGTAAACAGCCGTAGTTAAATAATTTAAAAGTAGTCTGTTGACATTCATAATATACATTAATCCCTAAAAAGCATGCAGCCAAAACACGTTCGAGGATGTAGGCAACTGTTATGTGCCTGGAAATTAAATTGTGATTTTAATACATTTGGAAATGTTCTCCATCCCTTGTTATTCTCAATCCATTTGAAATATAAGCAGTGGCTATTTGTTGGAGTATTTTATCACACATAAACAAAAAACTGACACAGATCAGCTGTTAGTGTGCTACAACCCGCTGAGGTAGTGGATCATGGTGATTGCATTAGGCTTTCCTTACTCTGCCCTGGCAAATGCCTTTATTGTATAAGGCTTAAGGACAATGCATTGCTATGTGTAAACCTATCCAGAAGCAAACATTTCACTGCCACAACACATGCCATCTGTTAATGGAGAGTCAGTTTAAGTGTGAAAGAAGGGCCTCTCAGAATGTATCCCTGATTTATGGTGCTCCATGGGGGGGGGTTTCGTGCAGGTAGCCCATGACAGGTGTAATTGGTCGGAGGCTTATTCTTGGATAGCCTTTTAATCAGGTTTACTCTGCTGCTGCGGGACACGGAGGTCCTCTAGTTATGCAACATCTGACATGTCTGCCCTTTGAGTTAAACCAGTCTGGTGGCCTGTACAAAATATCCTGAAAAGCCTGTAATAGGGCTGGAACTGACAATTAAACTAAACGATAATACATCTTCCAATTCTTTTCTTATTGATAAATAAAATGTCAGAAAATAGTGAAACATGTTCAACCCAGTTTCTCAAAGTCCAATGTGATGTATTTAGATGTCTTATTTTATCATCCACAACTTAAAGATATTACATAAAACAGAACAACATTGCATTTCTCAAAATGTTCATCAAATTAAAGTATTGTTATTTATATTGCCAATGCTTTTTCTATCAATCGACCAATCAATCAGTCAACTAAATAGTGGCTTCTCTAGTCTATAATGTTACACTGTTGTTTGAGTTGTGTGAGTTAGTGGAGAATGGCTCCTGTGTGCTCATCCACCGGCTTTATTTCAGAGCTAGTGTTGTTGGATTAGAAGCCCATGATCCCCCGTTGAGCCTCCATGGCATTCTCCCCTCCAATTGACAATCCTCTAGCTTGTCACATGACTTTTTGCTCTTTAAACAAGCGTGGCCACCAGCAAAAGCATAAATGGGTGTGGCGTCGGTGGGACTTGGGCAGCTCGTGGCTTTGCTCTCTCTGGGTCCTGACAGGGAGGTGAGTTCTCCTGTTCTAGGTTGGCTGACGACGACAGTGTTTGTTTTAAAGCACTTGCACACGTGTTTAGGAGTTATAACACAGATGCTCATAACGCAAATCTTTGAGCTACTTCTCCTGATGTTGGGATCACTGAAACGTACAGTTCAGCTCATTAAAGCTCTCTGTGGCGTCCTCATTTTGGACTGACAATGTCTGCAAATGTGGCCTTCAGTTTATTAAATAGGACATTATATCTATAAAGTTTGGTTGTTTCTGATAGATTAAAGTCAGGCCTGATGAGTAATTATGCAGTCTTTAATCTTATCTCTCTTTAATTCTCTCGAGCAATCTAAGAAAAGCAGAAATCATGATTAAATGAACTTGCATCATTTACTTTGTCAACTTTGCTGCCACCAGAAGCATTCGGCCCTGCTGCAGATCTATCTGCTGTACTAAGTCCGAGGCTCACGTTTTTGTTCTGGCTCCATTGTGCTTCCTTCATCAGGAATGCTGACATCCACAGTTTTGAAAAGCAAAGAGACACATATGCAAACACTCAATTATGTTTGAACATATTTGTGAGCCACATAGTCATTCATTTGTGAACATATGATGGTAAGCTGCTGCCTTTAAATGGAAATTGAATCATATCATTACTATTTATATGTGGCTTACTGCCTTATGCTTTGTTTGTGTTATTTATTCACTTCCAGGCAACCATGATGTAGCCAACAGGGACTTTTTTTGTCACTTCTCTCTGTGCGTGTTGCCAAGTCATGTAAGTCAGATTGAATATGTATTTAAACAAATTTTGATCCAATCATTTTCGACAGATAAAACTCTGTATTGACACACAACAGACAAACTGTCTATGTGGCATGTTAGATAAAATTTGAACAGGAAAACTGACTTGTTGGGCTTGAGTTACATCCAGGGTTGTGGAAAAGACCAGAAAGTGTGCAGTGCCATCGAGGCCAGGACCCAGAGTGGAGCTGAGCTGCTGAGGTGTTGAGTTTCAGTGCAAGGGGAGATTCCTGCTTGGCACTGCAGGCTGGTACAGGTCATCTTACATGGACTGTACAAGAGGAGAGAAGAGGATGCACTCTTACAAAGTCAATGTATAAAGAAGGCTAGGAAGATATCAACAGAATAACCAAGAAAGGGATGTCAATGTGTGGCTTCTGACCGTTTGATCTGTGTTTTTGTTTGCTTGTTCCTTTTACAGGAGCAATGTCTCACCCACCAAGGAACAACATTGTCTGCAACCTCTGATTGGTTGGCTCTCAGCAAAGAAAGTCAATAGGTCCAATGGAATCTGAATCGCCATTTCACTGGAGAAAAGTTTGACTCTGGTTTGTTAAAAAGTGGAAAAAAGCAACCCATCTGTTTTTATATGCTTTTTGAATAACTCGAGGCGAAGAGAGTCAACTGAATCATCCTGAGGGACATGGACACCATGGAGAACCTAGTCCTGGAGCCCAGATCAGAGCGGATCGCTCGCTACAAAGCAGAGAGGAGGCGAGAACTGGCTGAGCGCTTCGGCAACCTGGAGGAGCTACCTACCAAGTGGGTGAGGAGGGATGGGAAAGAGGTCCACGACCCAGAGACCCACAACCAGAGAGGAACTTTAGACTCAGATGGCCTCAGTGAAAGAGTTAACGGCAGGACGCGCAGGGTTACTAACGGAATAGAGGAGTCCAACCACTTGAAGAGGTGAGTTATTACTGCACAAATGGATGAGTCGATTGAGTGTGATACCATAGATTTCACCAATTTAAACCAAATCCAAGAGCGATTTTTCTTGTTAAATACAAATCAAATATCTGAATTCATGTCTGTTTACTGATACACACATTTTAGGTGCATACAATATTTATTTTAAAATAAAAAAATTAAAAAACCATTAAGTTGACCCTTCAGAATCAGGACACGGCTGTAGAAATCTGTAAATTATGATAATGAATAACTGAAATCGTTAGATGCAGCACATTGTTGGAGTCTGTACAGTTTTCTGGAGCTTGATGTGGAAGGGAGCAGGTGTGAAAGGCTTAATTTGTCACGACAGCAATAAAGCAACGGGTCTACTTCCTAACCCTATGACACCTCGACATCAGTACAAACTGTAGGTGTTGTACTGAAATAGAACAATGGATAGTTAGCAAGTATTTTGGTAACAGTGTGCGGCTTCATTCACTGAGGAAAAGTCTAACCTGATCAGTGACAAAAAAGTACTTGTGTGTAGCTGTACAAGATAGATGTGGGACACTTGATCTACCTGTGTACTTTATGCCAAATATGCAAACAAGTGGACTTTCTTTATCGGAAGCTGATCCACTTAGCTTTGTTTCAGATTCTCACAGAAACTTGGGTTGAATAAGACTTCAAATGGGTCTTACTTTAAGACTCAAAAGAATGAGACTGTTTATTGGGAAGTGTTTTAAATAGTAACTTTTTTATTTAAAATGCTTGTGTTTTGAGCATATGACTGGATGAATGAGATTTGGATTATAGTGCAATAGTTGTATGAAAGTTAATGAGCAAGAAGAACAACATTTCCCTCCAAAAATTCAGGTTAACATGCGGTTAGCTATTGGTCAACAAATTATCATATTGGGGGTAAAATGATCATTTAGGTAAAAGTAGATTGTGAGAGATCAAATACATGCTAAATGTATTTATCAAACATTTAAAATCAAACTTTTCTTTTTTAGAATGTAACACATTGGAATATGATAAAAATTGGTCCGCTACTTACCAGCGACCTTTCAGCAGCTTCAGATCCTTGACTTCACCAGTTGCTCTACGGACTTTGTTTCTAATTAAAACTGAGAGGTCTAAATCTGTGGGTCACAGCTGGGAGTTAAAGAGCCAGTCTGATGCTTCTTTTGTATTTGATTGGTACCCTTCCAGCCTGACACTGGGTACTTTTCCTTTGAACTTGCACTATGGAACAGAGACTGGGAACGTCTTCAGTGTCAGAATGCACAACATTGCACCTTTCTCTGTTGGAGCTGCACATTTTTGTTTGTGTTCTCTTGACAGTAAAGGTTTGGTTGTATTGTTGTTTCTGAGAGCGTTCCCCACACCTGCATCCTCAACTCCTTCCCCCCCTACTCCCGCCCCCTCCAGGCAGGGTTCCCCGGGCTCTGCCAGCATGCTGGGTGGGGAGGGGCACCCCGTCCCTGTTGGACTCGATGCCCCGCAGCTCCACACTTGGGTGTCGGTGGGCCAGTTGAGAAGTTCTCTTCTGCAGCAGACTGGGAACGGAGAGCAGAAAGTGTAGGGTCGCCTGCATGAGTGTGGTCCAGACTGTCACTGTCAGCCTGTGGCCATTTTTACCTCAACATCTTCTTCCTTCCCTCCTCCTGCTCTGTTCCCGTGGGTACCAGTTGCCCTGACGTTGGGCGGTCCACCTCCTCTTTGGATCTGGCTGTAAAGCCTGGCTCTGAGGGGGGGCGGCGACGCACCCGGCGTTACCTCCCCAGCGGGTCAGGCGGGGGTCGCAAGACCAGCGAGCGCTTCAGGACACAGCCGATCACAGCCAATGAGATGGAGGAGAGCAGCGGGTAGGGGCTGTGTGCTGTGGTGCAACGTTTGGCAACTGGTTTGGTTTTCACAAAGAAGATTCTGTTTGCAGTGTTTTGTGCCTTTTACACTGTTAAATTGTATTTTTAGTCTTGTATGTTTTTAACAGAGACATATGTTAAGGATTTACATTTCAGGAGGGCAAAAAGAAGTGTAAAAGGTGGATTTGCAAATGGTTAAGGACTTGGGGGTTTTAGGGTTTAATGGTGGGGATGTTAAGATGATGCCCAATAGAATTGAATGGTGGGACCAGTTGGCTATTCTCTCTACTATATAGTGTGGCTGTGTTCTGGGTACAGAATTGATTTTTTACTCTGAGGATGAAGTTGCTCTGTTCCTGCATTTGAGATCGATTTGTATAATACTTGTATATTGACTTCCTTTATTACTTTATTAAATATAACAAAAGACCAACTTTTTCCATGAATCATTTATCAGTTTCTCTTAAGAATTTTCTCCACATTTTGCTGATATCATTTAAAAATGTGGTTTTACCATTTGCCAGTGAAGTGTATGCCATCTGGCAACCTTGAATAATATTCAGACAATTGCTGATGGTTTTTGATTTATATCTGCTTCTCACTAATACAAATGCAGTCACACTTGAGGTTTGACAGCTGCAGCACCTTTACATATATGTCCACGGGTGGTGTGGTTTGCATGTGTTTGTCCTCCTTCATGACCTCCACAGTGTTGATCTACCGAGCATGCAAATATGACACAGTATCTTGCTTGTTTGAAGCTGCATACTGAAGCACAAAGACATGTATTGTGAGCCCGCAGCTAGATCTGAAATGAAACACATGCATAGGAGCTGGAGTTTTTAAGTCCACATAATTTCCCTGTTTGTTTTTCACCTGTTGAATTCATTCTTTACCTCTTCTCACCCTTCTAGGGGGTTGGACGCAGAGGAAGAGGAGAATTGCAAAGGTGACGCTGTGTTCCTGCCTGGCTTTAATCATACAGTTTGTTATTGTCTTTGGAGACAAACGGCTTTTGTCTGCTAAGCTGGTACACTGGTGGCAATGTGATACAGAGAGGGAGAAGGTCAGAGTATCACAACACTGGTCACCACTGACAACGCAATGATGTGAACATAATGATGGAAGGAGGAAAAAGTTAAGGGGCAACAAAAGAAGACCAGAAAAACCTGTGATTCTCTTCACAAGCTTCTTACAAAGCAAACATTTAGAGCGTGCATCCAACTTGCACAGTTGCTTCCACAAACTAATATAACAGCTCATGAATCAGGTTATATTTTTAGGCTTGCAATATTTAAACTCCTCTTTGATGACAGATTTACGTCCCACTAAAACGATTTTAGCAGTGGAGCAATGCTATGGCAGTCTCTCTCTTTACCTCACCATAAAACCTTACAAGCACGTTTTACAAAGATCGACCTACTGAGAATTCACAGCACGTCTGCGGAATCAAGCAGGCAATGTAAATCTAGCTTTATATGCTACTGGGATTCATTTCAGGCCATACGTCTTCTGCCTTCCACTGTGCAGTGGATTGAATCCCCAAATTCAACAAAAGTTAGGGATTTACCAAGTCTCACCGTTTCCTGTTGGAATACTTAAAAACTCTATTTTATAATGCTAAAGTGTACACAACATTCAAATGACAATATGTCAAGAAATGGGGATAAAATGTGTTTAATAATACCTTTCAGGTATTTTATATACAGTTGGAGAGTTTCCTATTTCCTGACCTAGTGGTCTGGCCCCTTTAAAAACTCACAAGATGAGGGGTTATGAGATAATTAATGGGGTAGCAAAGAAAGACCTTTTGCCAACTTAAAAAAAGAAAACCTTTATCTAATCTTTGCTTCTTTTTGTGCTAAATATTGGATAGTTTTTGCTCCAAAAAGTGGTATTGTATTATCCTTTCTTATTTTGTGCAACCGTGATATGAAATTTGACTAGTCACTATTGCTATTTGATAAGTATAGTAAAAAGTTGTTTGTAGAGTAGAGGAATTGACAAATAATTTTGTAAAATACCTCACATTTAATAATCTACTAAATTAGTTTCCACCTTTTTAAGAATCATCACGTGTAAATTACATAATGTAATTTGTGAGGATTTCGATGCCTGTTTGATCACCAGTGCTGCTCATTGCTGACATATTGCGTCTGAACAGTGTGATGGATGGCAACTGTTAATGACTGAATTATATCTCTTTATTCTCCCAGCTGATGTGAAAACAGATGACAGAGCCAAAATGAGTGTGGCAGCCAAGATGTCTTTGTTTAAAGTGAGTCTATACCCTGAAACCAGATCTGTATTGCTGCTCAGGACCTGCTCAATTCCTTTTATGTTACATGCTGTTTGTCCTATTGCAACAATCTCCCCGTAGCTATTCACTGCTCCTCAATCAAATGTGCAAGGCGAAGATTGAGCTGAATAATGTAAGATTTTCTGAAAGTTACTCATGACAATCAAGCATAGACAAACTTGTCTTTCCTGAATGGCTTACCTTACAGTATGTAACTGTCTACTGACATTTGTAAAATGCAATATCCTATATTAGATTAAAACTACCATAGCTCAGTTAAGAAGTTGGGGGGGAAATGTATAGAACAGCTAAGGGAATGCTACACTTATCATCCTCCGCTGCTCACCTTACAGTCTGAGAATCATGGTGAGCCAGCGCTGAGCATGCAGAACACAACCTGAACATGCTGATAGATATGAACGGTGAAACAGGTGCAGTGATGCTACAGTTTGTAAAGAAAGACTGTAGGTGTAATGTAGTGTAATGAAAACACAGTTGTTGTCTCTACACAGAAGAGCAAACACCTTTTGGATTTTCATTTCAACAGTTGCATTCTCCGTTTCTAGAATTAACCCTTCTTCAACATTGCCATAGCCATGGAGCTTCAGGTGAAAATGTGCCAGACACTGTATTACTATTAGCAACCATGGCAGAGGTGTGTATAATTAGCCTGCTAGCCTGTGAAGGCAGGCTGAGGTAACTGAAGCAGGCAGCAGAGCTCTGGTTACACTGCGACCAGCTGAGCTAGCTGGCATTCTATCCATGTAGCCAGCACGCTCCACCTTACAGCGAGCTGCCTTATCCACTAGCTATCTGACCCCCTCCCTCCATTTGTCCATACAAATAGAACAGGAGACATCTGCAGGGGAGAGTTTTCACTGACATGTTTGTGCCCTGTTTGACCTATATGGTCAGATGTTGTGGGTGATATTAACACGTTTCCTCCTCCTCTGTAGGAGCTGGAGAAATCAGCTGCCCCCGAGGCCTCGGCCTTCCTGAAGCCTCGCTCAGGCAGCGTCTCTCATGAGCGCAGGACGCGCCGTGGCAACGATCATCGCTTCCTTACTCAGCCAATCACCTGTGAGGAAATCGTGGCAATCAGGTGGGGAAGCTTAGTGGTCAGATGGAGATTTTAGCTTCATTTCTAGGAATACAAATGCCATACAGAGGCATGTTTCTTGGCCATTTGGTTGGATTCAAAACACTTTTATGCAACTCAACTCCACTTTATTTATCATACAATGATGCAACCCAAAGCAACAGGCTACACAGATAACTTTATAGCCAACTTTAGATATCTGTTCCATTGCTGTTTCTATTAGCCAAGCAATTTGGAAATGATCTACGTGTTAACTATTGTCATCAAATCCCATAAAGTACACCAAAACAAAAAATGACAGGATCATATAAACTGTAAAGTACTGAAGAGGACAAGTCACTGTTTCTTCAAGTTTGTGTGTGTGTGGCATAAAGGTTGAGAATCAGTCTAGGGAGCAAATAAGGTCACAAATATTTGTTAAATAATATAAGTGTCCAACTATGTTCATAGTTATAAAGGAACATGTCACCAAGTACAACAGTGTGACCCTCTGATGTAGTTTTGGTAGAATGTGAACAATGGATCTTTGCGGCACTTACTGTATGTAATAGATGCATCAGCCATTGGCTATTCAGGCAATACTTGTTAACAAGATGAAATCACTCTTGGCTTTAGTCTTTATGTTTACTCGTGTTTCCCCACAGCGCCCCCAAACCAGTGGAGCCCCAGTCTGCGCCGGCTGAGGCGGTGGAGGATGCTGATGAGAGCTCCAAGCTGAGCATGAGTGAGAAGCTGGCACTCTTCAACAAACTGTCCCTCACAGGGAAGCAGGAGGGCGGCCCCGCTGACGGGCCCCCAGAGAGACGGAGGCAGAAGGGGGCCAGGTACCGCACACAGCCCATCACTGTGGAGGAGGTCAGCCTGGTGAGTACACAGACCTTCAATTCTCAAAACTAAATAAAACGTGAAAATGAAAGAATGTGCTTTTGAAGAAGACAGTTGTGACTTTTAAGCTTCAAAATGTGTAAATATTTAGAGAAAAAGTCTGAAACATGTGTCTTTGTCATTTTATCTATTTACACACATAAGCACAACAACCATTATACAAAGTCCTACTAAATTTCTTGCCCTGATGAAAGTTTTCTACTGTGTATTTAAATTTGAACAATGATCTATACCTGTGTCTCACCCTTGTGTCGTGTCTCTTTTCAGCTCCAGAAAGGCCCCGTTCAGCTTCCTGCCTTCTCTTTGTCCCCTCATCTGTCCGACAGACAGCAGGACTCGTCTGTCAATCTGAAACCCAGTGAGCTACGCCTCTCCCAGCCAAGTCCTGACTCCGGCCCCGTGTCTGGAGAGGGTCTGCAGCTGCACGACTCTGAGCCCGTCCTGAGAGGAATCCTGAAGAAGAGCTGCTCCGGAGGCTCCGAGTGGAGCAGGGCGACCTGCCATGAACAGAATGGTGGAGGTTGTGAAGATGCAGGAGCACAAGGGAGGATGGAGAGCACAGAGCGGCAGGAAGTGCCTGCAGCCCCACGGAGAGAGAGGCGCCAGGCTCCAGGTGTGGAGGGGGGCTCGCTGCCTGCCGCTCCCTGGAGGCAGAGGGCTCGCACCAGAAGGGAAACCATTGCCTGTACACCGATAAGAGCTGTGCCAGAGCAGGACGCTGCGCAGGGGGAGAGGGGGGGCCAGACAGAGCTGCAGGAGCAGCTGCTCTCCTCTGTGGAGCACCGCTCAGATACTACTGGGAGAGTTCTGTGAGTATCTGAATGTGCTGATACATGCCTCTTTATAAGAACAAATATTTAATTTTGCAAAAGTTCATCAACTTACTAGCCAATGCAACTTGAGCTATCTTGATATGTTTAAAATGGCTTGCAGGGATTTCTTTAAAATAAAGAAAATATAAGAAAGTTTATATTACAGGTCTGCACATTGCACATCTTACTTTAAACATTGGTTGTTGACTTAATTTTGTGAAATGATTTCTGTCTTTACATTTTAGCAGAGAAACAAATATGTTACGGTTCAAGCCTGCTCTGTTTGTTACATCTAAATATAAGAACAGCTTACTTTTACATTTGCATCATAATATATTAAGTGGCAGCTTAAGCCATAGACCAGAAACCAATTATTGACAATTTCTGTCTTTTAACTGAACTCATTTACAAAATAACATCATCATATTTTAAGTGGAGACATTGGCTTTTTCACTGTTTTAGTGTTACAAGTACTGAATTAATTTAAACTAAACTTAAGAGAGGGTAGGCTGGTACAGACATTATTTTTGTAGGGCAAACCAATAAAATACTGTAATGTTAAATAAAGGAACAATTTTGTTAAATAAAGGCACAATTTATATATATATATATATATATATATATATTTATATCTATCCATTTACTGTTGTAAACAACACGTTTGTCCTCCACTGTTCTATGTTTTATATTCTGTATATCTGATGTGACCAAAAGGCAGCAGAATGAGGAGCAGAGTGAGAGGAGGAGGATGAATGAAGAAACCCCAGCCGTGGGACATGTTGAGGTCACACTGCTAGATGGCAACAGTAACCTGCAGGAGTCCACCAACACCAGCAGAAGAAAGGTAAGAAACTACAATGATTTCCTTCACATTGTAAATGTATTGGCCTGCGATGTCTTCAGTATGTAGAATGACACTCACAATGGATAAAAGCACAGCTGCAGAATTAACAGCTGCTGCACCTGTTGTCTGTTAATGGGAAACTCTTTGCCCCTCAATAATCTCTAATCCTATGGAGCCAGCGGGCTTCAGACTGTCAGCAGTGAAAAAATCCCATTTTTGTATTTGCTGATACAAATCCCAATATGTTTATTTACACTGCTATCAAGTATTGCCATGCAGTGACAGTATTACAAAACTGCAATCCTACAACTCAATTTTATGCACAGGAATTACATTTACTTCGACTCATTTTGACACAAACACAACGTTTTTGCAACATCAGTATAGTGCACGTTTGTAGTCCAACATTCACAGTACTTTTTTATTTTAGGTTCCCAGCTTATGTTCTGTCAAATAGGGAAATGATCCCGTCCCACAGTGCTTGTTTCAGATGATATAACCAAACATCAGCTGTCGGCAAACACCTTGTCACTTCAATGGTTGTCTAAAACACATGCTGCTGTCATGCCATGTCATGTTATAGAAAAGCAACACTTGTTGTTGAGGGAGATTCGGCCCAGGGCGCAGAGCGACACCTGCAGTAACTGTTTTTTTCATGTTTTGTTGTTGCACATATACACTTATAAAAAGACAGTAAGAATTTAAGAAAAGTTTGAACCTTGCGCAGGAGAATTAAAATGCAAAAGTCCCGTTGTTGATAATAATAATCATACAACAAAAAATAAAGAATCAAAAGACAAAAATACAGATTGCATAATTCGTCAAAGTTAAAACATCCAATGTAGTTGTAATTAAAAGTCAACATGCATATCAATGAAATTCATGAAGTGATATCTTTGCTAATGAAAGTCCACTCAACGTTTTCTGTGAAATTATCCGTGAAAGGAGCATCGAGATGTTTGCAGAAAGCGGCATGTAGAGGTTGTTGGGTTCACTCTCCTTGCCATCCTCAAATCCATAATGAGAAGAGGCCGCCTGTTAGATCGGTGTGTTTGTCATTCCAATGAAACCAGATATAGCATCTCTTAGCAACAGTGCTATGCATATGGTAGGTGCTAAATGTCTTGAGATCAGACTGAAGTCACTGGGATATCTCTCCAGACTACCAAGTGTTTATGAACTGAGAAGAGTTTGACTGTCTCGGGCATTATGTGGAATGTACACAGACTAAATGTTGACCCTTTTATAACCTTATCATCTCACAATGCTGACAGCACGTGTGTGTTCATATACTGTATTTTGGTGTTTTAAATGTATTGTTCGTTCTGTTTCTGTTTTTTAATTGTACTCTTCTAGCAACACTTTAATTTGTTTGTTCTACCCCTCTGTTCCCCCACACTGCCCTCTGCAGGAAGAGACAGAACACCTTCATGTGGACGGTGTCACCCCTCAGTGCTGGGTGAATCTTCATCTGATGCTTTTAAGATCCTTCTAAATCTCCATTATGAAGATTATATTCATTACTAATTTGACCATAGCTTTAGCCTGCCCGTCTCTCTTCTAATTCCTCTTCTCTCCCAGGATCCCGTCTTTGCTTCTGTCTTTTCTAGCAGTACCCCCCAATATATCATGTGTTTCAATCAGGTAATTGTTTGCATGGCAGATAATTCGACGCCTTTTTTCGGGTTTGCAGTGTTTTGTATGCGTGAAACGTTTTTGTCCTCACACAGTTTCACACTATGACACTGTGATTTTGATAGATGATGTGTGAAGTTTCACTCATGCTAACGAGATAAGTCTGCCACCTGCGGAGTGTTTCTTTAGTTAAATAAATCATCCTTTTTCTGTAATGTAACATCACGGCTCTCAGTGGCTGTCACACTTGTGTCATACCCTTTTTTTTCCAACCTGCAACAATATTGGAAAAAAGTTTTGCTAAAAAAGTAACCGAGCTTCATTTAATATTAAAGTAATTTTTTTCATAACTTCTGCTGCTCAAATAGAGTTTTTACACATAAGCAGTCTCTCCTGCTATGATACTGATATGTTTCTTTGTTTACCATCACATTTTTGACAATGCACATGCACGTCTCCAAAGGGGTCTCTCACCACTTTCCTATAATTAAAACTAACCTGTTACCTGCATTCTCTATTTAATTCATCTTCAGACAAATTTGTCTTTTGAGGCACAAGAAGTCTCCTCTCCTACCAAGGTTCCGATTCAGCCTCAGCGGAGACGGAAGGTGACACAGGCTGAAGTTTTCTTTAAATCTTAAAGTTTATTTTAATATATAGACAAGCTTGACATCTGTTTTTCATGATGCCCAGGTTAATGGAGTTGAGGATGAGAATGGCGAAGACGAGGACATGAATACAGAGCAGGAAAGGAAAGAGAAAAATGCCGGATGTTTAGCCCAGAGAGGTGAGTTTATCTGGTTTACTCTTTATCTGTGACTCTATCTCAGGAGGATTGTATATCTGACTCCTGCTCTCTGTGCGTACTCCCTGTTAGGATCTCCAGAATCAGACAGAAATGAAACCTCTCATTACAAAGGACTCTCTGAAGCTCCAACACACACATGTTTTGAGACCTTTCCTGTTAGAACAAACTATTTAGAGAAATCTATTTCCTCAACAGAAATCTCCCTGCAGCCTTTAACAGAGTTTGAAGGTAAGATCATATAAACTAAAGGCTTATAAATATATGTTCATAAAGTCATTACAAGCACACAAACAAGTATTTTTTGTCCTGTGCGCCCGCAGATCCACAGGGCTCTCGGCTCTCGGTGTCTCCACATAAGGTGAGGGAGGAGACGCCTGTGGATGAATCAAACGCTGATGGAGGTTCCTACAGAGATCAGTCAGCTCCCTCGGCCTGTGCCCCCCCACCTTGTGGAGACGCTGCTGCCGCAGAGAGTGAGCAGGACCTCGGCGTCCTCTGCCAGACCAACGCACCCATGTGAGCTGGTTTTACTGCAGATTGTAAGATTGTTGGCCTTTCTTATCGCTGTAATTTGGAAATCTGACATAGTCAGGGATGTGCTCGACGGGCCCATCTGATTGTAGGTATTTTGTTTTTAAATAATAATCATCTAGAGAATGCTATGGTCTCTGACAGGTATGCAAATTAGATTGATTGAATTAATTTTTTTCCTATAATTTAACTTATGAGCTTTAAAAATCTTGTTGCAAAAAAACAAAAATGATGAGGTGTGTCTAAAAGGTTTGATTATTACGTGCCCGCTGCAGTGGCCTAATGTTATGTTGACAATATTACATTTGGAATATTATGGTATTATTTAAAGGACAAAACTGATTTTTTTTTTGTATTAACGCTCTGTAGAAGTCCTACATAATGATTGCATGTGAATCAAATGGATACTATTTTTGGTTTCAGGTTTTCTAAAACACCTAATTGTTTGTTTTTACATTGAGTCATGTCTATGTTTTTTAATTCAGCGTTGCTTATTGAATTTCACATTAGTTTTCTATTTGAACTCCCGGCCAATAAACTTATCATCATGATTGGTTTATTTAGATGTAGTTTATGTGCAGAATCCATCTTGGATTTCAACTTCTCTAAGTTCGTTATATTTTAAAAAGTATAGCTATTTGCAGGTTACTCCCAACAAGGATAGGACACTTGTGGAACACACTTAAATAATAATAATAACTGAGCAGCTTTTTACATTCTGGCTGTGAGAAAGATTATGTCAAAGTTTAATGACGCATCAATAACTAATCAATATAATAACTGAATTCTTATATATGTGTGTGGTGTGCAGACTGACATCGGCAGTAGCGAAGCACAGGCGGTCGGTGCGTCCTTCCCGCCGTACGCAGGGCTCCAGAAACCCTCTGAGGGCCCTGGCCGCCCGGGAGGACATCCGGCAGGACTACATGGGGGAGAGAGTGGACTCAGCGTCTGAAGAGAGCAACCAATCAGAGAAGAGTGAGTGGGGATATTACACTCTCTTTAGTCTTTAGGCAAGGCAAGGCGAGGCAAGTTTATTTATATAGCACCTTTCAACACTAGGCAATTCAAAGTGCTTGAAGACATTAAGCATTAAGAAATAGTGCCGCAGAAACATATTATCAAATGGCATTTAACATTTAAAAGCAAAGATAATACAAACATGAATAACACAGGTACATGAATACAAGTTACAGTGCAGTGTGAGATATGAATCAAAGCAGTGGCAAAAAGAAAAGTCTTCAGCCTGGATTTAAAAGTAGTCAGAGTTGCAGCAGACCTGCAGGTTTCTGGGAGTTTGTTCCAGATATTTGGAGCATAATAACAGAACGCTGCTTCTCCTTGTTTAGTTCTGACTCTGGGGACAGAAAACTGACGCGTCCGAGAAGACCTGAGAGATCTGGATGATCCTTTTTCATTCAGCTTAAATGTGTGTGTCTTCCCTCCCCGTAGAGTCCAAGAACCCGTCTGTGACAGAATCAAATCTTTCCAGAGCAGAAGACGTCCTCTCTTCCTCAGACACAACCAAGTCTTCTCCTCCCTTCAGCAGCCTCATGCTCATTCACATCAAAGGTCAGAATATAGTTATCTGTATGCACGAGTGTCCCAACGATGACGTGTTTGTATTCAGGTTTTTATATTAACTTGGGCCTGTGGCAACAGGTAGGCGGCAGGTCCAGGTGCGTCTGGTGGAGCCCTCAGCGCGCTCCCTGAACAGTGGAGACTGCTTCCTGCTGGTCGCCCCGCAGCACTGCGTCCTGTGGAGCGGAGAGTTCGCCAATGAACATGAGAGAACCAAGGTACAACCGAACACAATTCAGTTCAATTCAAGGCTTTATTGTCATGTGCACATTAGCTACAGTGTAGATATGGCAATGAAAAACGCAAGTCACAGGCTCCTCCAACAGTGCAACATGAATATATATATATATAAAATGTGTTGAGATGTGCAAGTAAATACAAAGAAAATAGAATAGAACAGTTACATATGTAATGTTATTATTTTCTATGGTGGGGATCAAAACTGTCTCAAATGTAAAGGGTGCCAGGCTATAATAGATGTTCAGGGTATAAGACATGTTGTGCTATAAATACGAATTTGATGAAAACATGTAGAAATGCTCACTTTGAAATACTTATTATCACATGTTCTACACAAGGTTAAATCCACCATGTGCCACAGGTGAAATTTAAATGTCAATCACTTTCACACCTTCACTTTCCTGCTGTCACCACATACTGTATTTTGATAGCTGTGACCAACTATGGTGAAACTACAGTTTCTGCCTTCACACATATCAAAACGTGTGACTCAATCTAAATACTGGCATTGGCACTGGCAATACTGTTAAAATGTGTACAGTATCTTATAGGGCACATTATTTGGTGCAGCACCTGTTGCAAAACTCTTTCATACCAGAAATCAAAATGTTAAGAGTATTTTGTTACCAACTAGTTCCATACGCCTGTTTGGACGCGGTATTAGAACATTTTATTTTTATTTTTCAGGCCTCTGAGCTGGCATCATCCATCCAGAGTCAGAGGGGTCTGGGCTGCCAGGCCTCCCAGGTGGTCCACCTGGAGGAGGGGGTAGACTGTGACGGCAGCCTGGCAAAAGACTTCTGGGGCCTTCTGGGAGGACGGACACAATACAGAGGTTAGAGGTCAATGTGTCTGCGTAGATCATTTATCCTTAGATGGTTTTACATTTTATGTTTATTAAGTCGGAATAGAAAATTTAAAATACCTGCTTTTTTTTCTTGAGATATTTACCTAGCTTATCAACTATTTAAAGACAACAAAATAGAAAATTGGAAAAATAGGATTTTAACATCATTTTGTGGAAAAGTAAAAGTACGAATGCCACATTATGAAAATACTCAACTACAAATCAAAGTACACAAAATGTACTTGTATCAAAACATATTTTGAAATAGCTAATTATTGGAATATTACTGTATACTGATGCATTTATGTTGGCAGCTTATACGAATGTTCAAGGTAGAGCTTCTTCTTATAATATACTGTGGTGTTGTTTAATTTATAACACATTACATTTTTACCTTTTCTTATTTTTCCCTAATATGTTAACAGTAAATGTAGTTATCAGAAAATGATGGTGGATTAAAAAGTACAATATCTCTCTCTGAAATGCTTTGGAGTTGAAGAACTGAATTGCAAAATAGGATTGTTTAAAAAGTAAAATACATGCCACCTGTGTAGATGTGGACTGAGCATTCTGTATGTTCTTGTGTTTGCGTAGGAGCCAGTGCAGAGGAGGAGGATGAGCTCTATGAGCGTGGGGTGGTGGAGTCGAACTGTGTGTACCGGCTGGTGGAGAACAGGCTGGTGCCTCATGAGCAGGCCTGGGCCTCCATCCCCAGTGTCTCCCTGCTGGGCTCCACTGAGGTCTGAACTCTCTAAATATGTTGTCCATTGCGTGCTTGTTCTAAAAAAGTCAGACAGTTTAAACATCTGATCATGTCTCAGATGAAATGAATGCCCATTCTGTCATCCTTTTTTCTCCAGGCCCTGGTGTTTGATTTCGGCAGTGAGGTGTACCTGTGGCATGGCCAGGATGTCTCCCTCAGTAGGAGGAACGTTGCCTTCCAGCTAAGTCACCAAGTGTGGGTCGGTCCTTATGACTACAGCAACTGTGGAGTGAATCCGCTGGATCCCACGCAGTGTAACCCCAACACACCGCTGTAAGTTCACACCGCAGGCGTAAAGCTTTTAGACCCTACCTTACAAAGGAAAATCATCATATCAATGTTGGGACACATAACAGAAACAGAAGAGTACAGCTGTAAGTATGACCTAGTTTGAACATGGCTGTGCACCCAAACAAGTGTGGATGTAATTCCACACTGGACACAATAAGCACAAGAAATTAAGTTTACTGTGAATGTAGCAGCCCAGTGATATGCAGTAAAAGTCTTTAGTGCATGCTGTAAAGCCAAAGCAAATGGCATTTCATTCCAAACTGAAACCCCAGGATACAGCATTGTGTCCACATGACGTGCTGTTTTATGAATACACTTCACACTGACAGGCTGCAGCTGGCAAAAGACAGTGGAAAGTCAGAATTCACAAAAGTAGCAGGACACCTGTTGAACATGTCATTCAAAACGAATGGGCTTTAATGCTGCTATAATAGCCATTTATCTTTTATGATGATTTTTGGTACAAAGTTGGGGGCACGCTAATGTCTAAAACTTGAAAAAAAGTTGGGGAAAAAGCGCTTTTATTTTTGATATGCACAACAATTACAGAAAGGATTTGTTAATTTAAAAAAAGTCTGCTAATTTATAATGTATGAAATGTCACAAGTAAAAATAAAAAGTGAGACTTATACAATAAGGACACTGCAAAGCCCAATAATGTACCACAATCTGCAAAAATATCATTTAAAAATTACATAATTGCAAAGCGGTCATTAATTAAGGTTGGATTCGATGTCAAATTAATTTGTTTTTAATGACTCTGTCCTCAGAAGGGGAGAGGGGCGTCCCAGCTGGGCGTTGTTCGGTTGTGTCTCAGAGCACAGCGAGACTGCTCTGTTCAGGGAGAAGTTCCTGGACTGGACAGTCAGGAGTGGAGGCACGGAGGAAGCTGCTGCTGTGAGCCACAACACACAGGTTTGTCTGATTAGAATGAGTGTACACACACACACACACACACACACACACACACATACATATACACACACACACAATCATCAGATTTCCCATTTTTCTCAGATGATTTAATCCTGACCTCTAATTTACATTGTTATTTTTTCGATTCCATATATTTCACTTTCAAGATTCTGGGTTAAGTTAATCATTGCAATCAATCATCATTATCTTTTTTCCAAATATAATTGTTGCTTTTATTTAAGCTTTAAACTGATTCTGATTCTGATTCAACTTCCATCCGTCCACAGCCTGTCCCAGTTCAGTCTTCCGAGTTAATGCCCCCATCCTCAGACGTCTTAAGTGCCTGTGATGCCAAAGCCTTAGTGTCCGGTCAGTTACTAGAAGGGGATGGCGTGGTCCATAACGTGTTGGCTGGGGTTGACGTCCAGAGGGGGCACGGGGTCATCATGCTGGAGGAAGGAGGTCAGATGGAGCTGAAGACAGTTGCTGTGGACACGTGGCACGTCCAGGAGTTTGATGACAGCGAAGTTCCCGTGGAGAGTACCGGGCAGCTTCACGAAGGAGACTCCTACGTCATCCGCTGGACGTACAGTATCAACACTGTCGGTCAGAGACATTTATCGCGTCACCCTCACATTCCTTACTGTGGCTTATTCTGTCCTTTTAGTCAGTGTTATTTGATTTAAACAAAAACATCAGCTATAAAAATACCTCAAATAGAAATGTAAATATGTTATCCTCTGCTGTAGATAAGATGAACAGCACTGATGAGTGTAGTGGAAGTCCCGAACAAAAAGAAAACACTGCCTTCTTCCTGTGGCGGGGCCGTCACTCCAGTGTCAGCGGACGGGACACCGCTGCTTTCCTGTCCATTGGGACGAACAAGCAAGGGGAGTCACAGGTGAGGCCTTCAGAATACCGTTTGTTGGAAATAAAACCACACCCTAAAGTAATTACTCTGTAAGAACGTTTACTGAAGGAGCATATTAAAGGACACCTTTGGCCCTTTGGTGTGAGGGTTTACTTTAATTGAAACATTTTTTTTAATTGGAGGGATGAAACCCTCTTTAATGGTCACATGCAGCACACACAGTGAAATGTGTTCTCTGCTTTTAACCCATCCTAGTACCAGGAGTCTAGTACTAGGAACAGTGGGCAGCTAGTGTACAGCGCCCGGGGAGTGAGGGGGGAAGGGGGATGTCCATTGCCTTGCTCAAGGGCAACACGGCAGGGGTGTGTTCACCCTGGAGGTGAACTGGGACTTATCCAAGTGCCAGTCCACACTCCATACTTTAAGTCTGTTCGGGGACTTGAACCGGCGACCCTACGGCTCACAGTCCAAGCCCCTACTGACTGAGCTACTGCTTGATTGAAATATCCTTTACTGATTGCTGTATTTAGTAGATACAATGCAGTACAAGGGTTTACATGCAAATACACACTGTGTGTACTCAACAGTTTGACTGATTCAAATATGGACTTTTTGTTGTGTTGTCTCTGAAGGTGGTGGTTCCTCAGGGAAAGGAACCTCCCTGCTTCCTGCAGCTTTTCCAGGGAGGCCTGGTCGTTCACAAGGGCAAGAGAGAGGAAGCCTCCACTAATGCAGGTACTGTACAGTAAGGGCCTGTATCTGTTCTCCTGGTTCAGTCATCAGGCTCAGAAATACTTAATTTATCCCTTCTAGAACATAAACATAGAGAAATTATAATAAGAAAGATGTATATAAATAATGTGCATATTTACATTTTTTTTAACAGGTCGAAAAATTAAATTTATAATATAAATGCCATTTATATTTAAGTGTGTTCAAATACAGGAAAAAGTGTTAATGGAACAATAATTGAAAAGCACATTTGAATTCAGTATTAATGCCGGAGTAAACCAGAAGAGTAATAACTAAACAGACAGATCTGCCGATAGGGGTAATTAAGTGCAAGAGCCAGTCTACTGACTTAGATGATGTGACACTCTGAAGGAGAAGATGAAAAGTTTGATGGCCACAGGCAGGAATGGACTCCTGTGGGGCTCTGGTGCATCTTTGGACAGCACGCAATGTCATGTGATTTTAAAACAAATATTTTCTTTTGTAGCAGAGTGGCGTCTCTTCTGTGTGCGCGGAGAACTCCCTGAGGAAGGCTCTCTGTTGGAAGTGGATTGCTGCTGTGCAGGTCTGAGGTCCAGGGGCTCTGTCGTCCTGCTCAGCAGCCAGCAGGGTCTGATGTACCTCTGGACGGGCGGTAAGGCTCACAGCGGCTCCAGAGAGGTCAGCAAGAGGGCAGTGGAGCATCTCACTCAAACGTGAGTCAAGTCAGTGGGTCGGCTTTTCAAGGATTCAGTGATGTCTTTAACATAGAACGTTGAAATCACTTTCCAGCCTTTGAATTGTTTGTGTTTTTAGGTGTCCACCAGAGCTGGGTCTCAGTAAAAGCAGCCCTGTGAAGGTGCAGGTGGTGGAGGAAGGCTCAGAGCCGGCAGAGTTCTGGACAGCACTGGGACAAATGGACAGGAAGGCGTATGACTGCATGCTGCAAGGTAGAAAACAACTCAACGTCTCTTCATCCAGGACGTTCTCTAATCTTCTAAATCACACTTAAAAAATATTTCTTTGTTAGATCCCGGAAAGTATAACTTCACACCTCGCCTCTTCCACCTGAGTGCCTTCTCTGGGAGTTTCCAGGCTGTCGAGCTGCAGAGTCCAACTCGGCTGCCGGGGGTCGTGATGCCATCGCCCTTCATCCAGGAGAGCCTGTACTCTGTACCACAACCAGGTGACAGCGTACACATGCACGCATGCACAATACACAAACGTGTGTGTCTCTTTCGCTGTTATCTTTTTATGTACATTCATTGAAAACAAGAACCACATTACTTTTGAGTCATTCATTTATCAATTTGTAAAATTGTTTTGGCAGTATCCTTTTTGTTTCTTTCTGCCAAAATCCCAATATCAAAAGTTAACTTAATTGTATAAGTTCATTTGGCTTGCATACATTTACCTAAATAAAATGTTTTCTGCTAATGGTAAAAAAAAAAAAATTATATTCTATTAATGCTGTTTTTTGGTATATACATATCTGACTTCTTCTTTTCACCAATGAGAAACGTTTGTGTATATGACTCCCAGAAAGGCTCTGAAATTCACTTTATTGTCTCATATCCACTGTCTTTCTTTCTTGCCTGCCTGTTAGCTTTGTTCCTGCTGGATAATCGTCTGGAGGTGTACCTGTGGCAGAGGGGTCAGCCTGAGCAGACGGAGAGCTCGGCCTCAGCCTGGAGCTGCTGGCATGCTGAGAGGAGGTGTGCCATGCAGACGGCGCTGCAGTACTGCAAGGGTACGAGAAGGCTGTTTAAAATGAATGAGTTGCTGATTAGTTGAAGTATTTAAATTTTTCAATGTTTTTTCTCTGCAACACAGAGATGAACCCAAGACGCCCACCGCAGGCTTACCTAATTGTTGAGGGTTTAGAACCTCTTACCTTCACTAATGTGTTTCCCCACTGGGAAAAGAGCCTGGGACCCCATCCACAGGTAAAAACCCCATGCACTTATCTACACCTCACTGTTTCTAGTGTAGATATTCAAAGTGTAATATGTAACATTTCTACATTAAAATGTTTAATCTCTAGACCTATTTTCTATATTTTGTTGAGTTTTTTTACGTTATCCAAGATGTCATAAGTTGTCCTTTTATCCTGACACTTTTTTATGAAACACATTTGAGATATGTCATTTATTTTAGCCAAATATAGAATTTAATAGAGTGGATGACTAGATCTTAAAATATTAGAACAACAAGCTGAGCAAATGTAAGCTGCAGCTCCTACATCCTGTGTCTACCAGAGAAACACTGATTTTTACTGTGACACTGCCTTATTCAAGATTCTTTTCTACCAGTTTTAATCACCAGCTTTGTTCTATGTATTTTTCCATGAATGTCTGTGTAAGGGTGATGCGGGGCGGGTGAAGCTGACCTTGGTGCAGGACGCCCTGGCCCAGTTGATGAAGACCCAGTACCCTCTGGAGGAGCTGCTGCAGAGCCCCCTGCCTGAAGGAGTGGACCCCCAGCGCCTGGAAGTCTACCTGTCTGATCACGACTTCCAGGTAAACTGATGGAGCAATATGCAGTGATGTCTTTTAACCAGCAGGCTGCAGTGTTATCCAAATGTTTTACAAATAAAAATAGATGCTCTCATCTTTTTAATCTGATAATAAATTATTTAGAAGTTTTGTCTAAACTTTAACATTTATATTTTATTTTATAAAATGATTTCCCCAGTAAACAAATCACTACAATTATATGTTTCAGAGTATTTTGGAAATGAAGAGAGATGAATACGCTTCCCTCCCAGACTGGAAGCAAATTGATCTGAAGAAAAGCAAAGGGCTGCTTAGCTAGACAGCGAAAACAAATGGAGGCTGACTGATGCTCCTGCAGCAGGGACTTCCTCCTCCACTGAGAAGAGAAGATGGCAGGGGGGTATTAGCACCGCGTTGCTGCACAAAGGACTGCTCACACTGTTATAAAAAGAGGAAAGAAATTAACTTTTATTTATGTCAAACTAGTATGAGTGTTTAGACTTTTTATCAGACATGAATTTCTCTGTAGCTATTGTTCAGAGCAAAAAACAACACACCTTTTCCTATTAAAGTCAACTTTATCTGTACAAATCATTGAAAGATATAAAGAAAATGTATGAGGGTGTGAGCGAAGGACATCAGTAACAAACTGTGGAATAAGGATAAGAAAACAAAGGAATACATACAAAGAATAAAAGGCTAACTACTTTTAAAAAGGTTTCCTCCTCGATTGAGATCTTTCCATCAAAATATCTCTGCATTCTCGGAACTAAAGTTTTGCTTAATTTCAGTTGAAAGATTTTCAGCTGCTGCTTCTCTTCCTGATTGTCACTACAATCTTAAAAACAGTGTATTTGACTCCTATGATGTGCATTATACAGTTGTAAGAGCTACTGATGTGTTCATTTGTCTGCCTGCCTTGTGTGTACAAAGGTTTGTGCCATATGTATTTTAGCTTAAGCCCATGTGTTCATTGTTGCTGTGGGTAATGCCTTATTAGGACTCCTTGGGGATTCAGTATTAGCTATGCATGGGGGAGCAGGTAGACATGCTCCAATAACATCCCTCTGGCCCCAAACAACACGCTAATTCTGCTCCACCTCAATCACCACGCTGTTCACAACACCCCTCCTAACACAAAAACCTATAAAGACATACGGCATCTCTATTGTGTGTGAAAGTGCAATATTTCTGATAATGGTAACACTGAGCTGATGGTGATTAAAAATGTTTTGATGTACTTTGGTGTAATATCCCATTTCCTGTATGAATCTAAATAGAATGTTTAGCTTGAATTCTTATAAAACCCCCCCCCCCCACCTTTTTGTTGTCAAAATTAAAAAAACAAATGTTTCTTGGCTCACTGTTGTCTGCAAGCATTTACATCTTAGCTGCTCTGTGAGGCTAAGCTAAATGCTAACATCAGCATGCTAACATACTCAAAATCAAACTGATGTAAATCGGTAATGTTTACCATAGTTGTGTGTTAGCTGCTTACACGTGCTAATGACAAAGTACAGGCTGATAGCAATCTCAATACTTTTCAGGTATTTGATAACAAATACTGGAAGTATTTAAAATCAGCTTGCCTACTAAAACGTATCTGGTTAATTGTTTGTGGTACATGGATGTCTGTTCCAAATGTTGTAGCTATCCAAGTTGTTTGGATACTCAAAAACCACAAATGTTGACCTGCTTGTGCCGCTAAAGAAAAGGTCATGGGATCAACAAAGTAATTAAGATTCATCCTCTGGGAACCATGCTATTCTGTCCACATTTGTATCCTAATCCAGGGAGTAGATGTTGAGATATTTCAATGTGCACCAAAGTGGTGGTTATTCATCCATCTCAGCCTCAATTAATCCTAATACAATGCAGCAATGGGACAAATGGGCTTTTCTCGAGTGGAAAAAACCCCCCCTACTGTGTTGCTGATGTGGCTAAAACTGATGCTGTTGTGTGATTACAACTCATAAACTGGTGATTTCTGAGTTAGGTAAGACAATCTGAGGGACGTTTTAGAGTAACCACAAGTCATGTGTGCGCAACACATTGTAAATAGGTAAGGTTGTTCTTCCATTGGTCCACTGAGTAGGAGCCCCTTTGGGTTCACTGGCTAACTGGATGTTATTTTCCTCAGAATGGATTAGCTGACTAAGCCTTCATGTGACTGTGCAGTGCCAGATTAGATTTAGGCCCACCGCTGGGTGATGGCGCACTTGAGAAAGACATTTCCAAAGGCCTTTTACTTGCAGGCATCTAAAACAGACCAACTCTAGAAAAGGGTTACATACTGAAAACTACCTGAATCCTAATGTCTTTACAGCCATTATGTAGCTGGAGTGAAGGCAACAATGTTATGCTGTTTTTGGTGAAGATGTGATAAAGAAACAATTTCCAAGGTGCTTTTTCTAAAGTTGAAATGTAAAAATGAGGAGTCCCTGCATCAATCAGCGCAACCTTAATCATTTGGGTTTGATGGTGAGTTTGTGAATCGTGCCATTTCAACACTACCAGGTGGAATATGTGCCTGTTCAATATCAAGTGAGTACGGCCGCAAATTGACATATTTTCATGCCCTTGTTTAGATGTCTAAATGGCCTGTTCTCTTTGTGCATCATGTCCGAGTATGAATCGATCCGGTTCAGAGGCCAGTGCCGCCTCACGCAAAACCACCATGTGATCTTCTGCTGCGTTGAGTGACTGGTCGATCCAGTCCATACTGCCGGACATGTGACAGGCGTTGCGGGTGACCAGCACCAGGTGGCTGACTGAAAGAAGGAGAGCTGTAGCCCTGAGGAGGAAAATGAAAAATGGGTTTGATTTAACTTTTTTTTGTTGCTGGGTGAGATGCACTGATTCCCAAAATCCTTTTTAAAATGAAGGAAAACTGGCTTAGAATGGGTCTGTTGGGCAGATTGCATAACTTTAGATTTGTTTTTTAAGGCACAAAATATTGGATTTTGAAGGTTTTTCCCATAGCATCAATTTGCAGTGACACTTCACATTAGCTGTCCCTATCGCTGCATAAATGAAAGGTTATTTCATTATGGATACATCGAGTCATGTGGTCTTCTCCAGCTCTTATAGGTCAATCACGGTCACAGGTCTTTGCATAAGGTCATCAACGTCATAGAAGCTGATTTTATGGATGGAAAAACAAATGTGATTACCTGGCGTCCAGGAGGATTGGATCCAGAGGTGGGTACATGGACCTGACCACGTCGTCCACCCTATGAGGAGAGGGGACGGAGAGGATGTGAGGTTAGCCGGAGTCAGTAGGCCTACTGTGTTCATTGCAGAGGTGGAAGTAATACATGGAACATTTATTGAAGTAAAAGTATGTCCCACAGTGTATGTTAAAAAGTCCTTAATTAAAAAGTATTATCATCCCAAAACACTTAAAGGTAGGGTAGGTAAGAATGGAGAAACCAGCTTGAGTAAGCTAGAATTTGAAAGTACACAATCGAAAAAAATCTGCCCTTTCCTTCAGACTTCCTTACAGAGCCCCTCCTCCTACACACACAAACGCGCACATGACCAATGAGGGCACGAGATAAGTTTGTGTACGAGATGCACGAGATGGAAGACTGACAGGCAGGTAGGCCATCCAATTATCTGCCGTGGGCCGAGACAGATCATTGGGCTTCCACAGATGAAGTATTTGTATATATTTATTGTCAAAGCATTTAAAACCCTTTAGCTGCCGGACCAAGAAAAAAGCTATGGAAAAATTATTTTTTTGCATTTTCTTATCAAATGGGCCACAAATAAGCACAAACACACTTTTTTTTTTTTACTGACCACACACTTGTTTTTATGAGCCTCTACCAAATGGTCGAGCTGGCCTTTTCTATGGTAAAAGTACATTTTCAACAATCATCATACAGTACAGTATTTGTATGCATCAAACTCAAATAAAACACAAACTCAAATACATTTGTGTCTTTTATGGAAAATTAGCAATATATAAAACCAGATATATTCATAAAAGATAATAAATGATCATTCTAAAAAAAAAAAAATGGAAAAAAGTAATGTAAAGTGTTTTTCATGATAAAAAAAATACTTGCTCATCTTACTGTATATTCTGAATTGGCCTAACAGGAAACCACTGGCCTAACAGCAAATGTCTATATCCTGTGTTGGCCTAACTTGCTCATCTGTGTGCAATTTTGGGCTGAATGCCATGCATGAAAGGTGCTATATAAATTATTATCACTCTTTCACTCTGAGACTCATAAGGCAGTACTAGATTTAGTAATATTACCATGAATCTAGCCATTTATTTACCATATTTTATTGGAAAACATCTCCGAAACTCTGAAAAAGTCATATTGCTAGCTTACCATAAAAAGCCAATTCAACCGATTGGTTGAGCATATTTTCCAAAAAATAATTACACCCTTGTTCAAACTTTTTTTGTGCATCAAGTTATCTAATTATGTTCAGTCAGTGCCCTGCCACTAAAATATGTCAAAAATGATATGGTTACCTTACAAAAGTTGACCAAAAAGAGTGATTTCTTCAGCAGTGATTTTTAGCATGCCAACTTTCTCAGTGGAAGCTAGCTGAAGGGCTTTCTGTTTGAACCACAGTGACATCTAGAGATTGTTTTGTGCATAACATGTCAACCAAAGGGTAGAGCTGGCTGAATCAGATGGAGTTCAACTTTTTTTTTTCCAACAAGATATCAAGACACAAAATGTGCTCTACCAAATGGTGGTGCTGGCAGCTAAAGGGATAATATATTCATTGCTATTGGGATGTTCAGAGCATTCCATGGAATATAACAAAAAGTGTTTCTGAAGTGAATTACCTTTAAAATATCAAAAGTAAAATAACTCATTTTGTTGTAGAATGTCTACAAAATGATGTATATTATGATACTGAATCACAATTATTGAAGCATTAAACTGTTCATTACAGTGGGGAAATGTTTTGAAACACTTCCAGATAGTTTGTGAATTTACCAAAGGATTAGTAAAGTGTTATCTTACTTATTCAATACATCATCATTGATATTAAATATCATACCAAGTACCTTAAAATAGTTTTTAAGTAAATGTCCTTAATTACTGGTAAATGTGCGTTACCTCGGGCTGATGCGTTTGGCCACACTGATGATGTCACTCAAGCTTGCCGGTGCCTTGACCTTTGCCCCTGAACCCATTGTCATGGCAACCAGCTTTTCAGTCAAAGTGTGGCAAATCTGTAGATCGAAATATAACGTGTTAGTTTTGCTAAATAAATAATATAGACTAGAACTAAAGTAAAGACTTGAGTTACCTTTAGGATTGAGATACAATGAGAGACCAATCCACTGTGGGAGAAACATTCAGAGAATTAGGTAGAATCAAATACTCAGGTCATTTACTTAAAAAACAGCAATACCAGTGTACCACAAAAAAAATACCCTATCGGAGTAAAAAGAGAAACCTAAAGTAGGGCTGCAACTTACAACTTATTTGCTAATGAATTGTTCTTCTGAATATTTTAGAATTTAATCGATTGGTCTATAAAATGTTTTAAAAAAGTGAAAAATATGGAGGCAAAAACAAAAATACATTAATAACATATATAATTCCCACCTGTGGATCAATTAAGTCTTATGTTTATCTATAATAACATAACATACTTTATTTGTTGGTTTAGTATTGTATTGTTAATTGTAATACTCAAAGTAACTAATGCCATGTAAAAAATGTATTGACATGAAAAGTAAAATATTTCCCTCTGAAATAGAAAGTATCTGAACATGTAAGAACTCAAGCACCTCAACACGGTACTTTTGGCAGTACTTGGGTAAATGTGCTGAGTTAGCAGCAGCATTTGAAGACTTAACCTAAATGTCTAAAGCTTTAAACTTATGTCATGCCACAATGGCACCAGTAAGACATACGAGGCATCCTCTATCCAGTCCTCGTTCTCCAGGATGGCCTCGATGTGCGGGTTGGTGATGACCACATCGTCCAGCTCCAGCTCCGACTGCTCGCTCTGGGTCTCCATGGCTCCAATCAGATCCACTGTGGGTCTGTAAAACAGAACAGGGAAACCAGAGGAGGCACGGCTGGATTACCAACCAGCAAGTCACAGTTAAATTACCTTTACATTTGCTGTGGTTAACTGAGCAAGTTTATTGACTGGAAATGTGCATGAGGATATCACGTTTTAGTGTTTTTCACATAGTATAAAGGGGCTCTGTGTCTTTGAGCACACAATACAGGTTTCTGTTCTAATTTCAATATTTGTCCTGGCAGGTTGTGGATATCAATGTTTAAGATGAGTATCTTTTATTAGCAACACTTTTTCAACAACAGGTGTATAAGTAAACAAAGCTAACAAAACAGCCTGATTTTGTTGTTGTTGATTGAACAAACACTAATCAAGGTGTAAAGCGTATCAATTAGATGACAAAACACTGGAAAAAAGAAAAAGAGATGTTAAATGTTGAAATAAATGAGTCCAACTGAGGTTGAATGGTACACAAATGGAGTGCCCCTGTGGCTTAAAGGATTTAAGAAGCCAACCATGAAGTGCAAAGTCCCTGTTTGAGGTCCTGTTGCATTTCTCTGCCTCCTTTTGTGGCATTTCTCAACTATTGCTAATTAATAAATGCCCATAAACCACTAGTGCTAAAAAGTGTGAAGCCAACCCTAATCGTTTAGTACAAACAGTATGTAGGCTAGCAGTGGTTATATTTGTTTTACTAACTACAATTTAAGACTCTAAAATCTGATAGGAGTTAAAACTCTTTCTAGTTCACATGTCGAGGCTTTGTATTGATTCACTGACTTGGTGTCGAAGGGGTACAGCAGGTGGTGAGGGTGGCAGTAGCGATGTCTGCACACCACCACAAGAGCGACGAAGGAGGCCAGGAAAATGGTGGCCAACACCCCAATTGCCACGATCACCACTGTCTCCATGGCGACTCCAGCTCCCACAGCAGCTGCAGGCAGCAACTTGTTTGAGAGGAAGAGAGTCCAATCAGGGTCGGCTGATTGTCCGAGCTTGATTATGGATGGCCGCTCATCTGTCGAGGAGAGAAGTGATTGGGTGACATCAAACTGGAGAAGAGGAATATCATCCCTGTGCTTGAAGATACTTCAGCTAGATTTCTCCTGATTTTGACTTCTGCTGAAACACAATTCCCCTCTGAGCCAATGGAAAGAAGGATACAATCAGCAGTGTTTCTGAATGTGGCACACCTACAACACACGGCTGATCTTTATCATGAGTACATAAAAGCTGAAGTGCACTTGCTCTTTGTTTGCATGTCATACAGCATAATGAGAACACAGTGTTTGCTATACAGAGACTTTATTTGCGAAACTAGGGCAACGACAACTCACAACAAATATTATACTATTCTATTGAACTTTAACAAGCAGCCAAAAAGTCGAAAAGTTTGAAAACAGTGTGAAGATTGCCTGTTTCCTTTCACTTTGATTAACAGCTCCAACAACACACACACACACACACACACACACACACACACACACACACACACACACACACACACACACACACACACACACACACACACACACACACACACACACACACACACACACACACACACACACACACACACACACACACACACACACACACACCTAAACCGCCTGTCTATACCTGAACAAAGAACTAAACTCTCATAAACTTTGACCTCTTACCATCTGATGTGTTCAGTCCTGGCTGAAGTATTCTGGATTATCTGCAGTTTAATTCAGGTGACATGACATTTACCCTTTCGTTGAGAGTGTAAAGTATAGCTGCCCTCTGCTCGGTTTTGTCACTCATTAACCCGCCCTGTCCCACCTGATCACTCATAGAGGATGGGAGTAAACTCTCTGCCAGAAAGCCGTCATTGGCTCAGCGTTCTCAAGGTACAGTAAAGTATAATTGAATTGTAATGATGCCTGCCATTATGAACAGTGTTCACTGTTACATGACTGCAGGGCAGCTGAACCTTTTTTTGCCCAGATGATTATGTGAGATTCTGCATTGGAATGCTGTAATTCTTTAATCTGATTAATTTGTGTTACACTCGCCGTATCGCACAGAGCTTTCCTGACTCCCTTTTCTTTTCACAGGCCGGAGTGTAAGAACTCCTTGAAATGTCTCTGCTAAAATAAAACAGATACAAATGTTTCATTGATATATTTCAGGAAACAAAAAACAACAGGGTTTCCCCTTAAACCTAACTAAGCTGATTTCACTGCAGAGCAAACTGCTTGTCTTAAGTTGTTGAAAGTAACTGAGTGAATTTAGTTAGGTACAACTTCGAGGTATTTTTTGCCTAATTTGCATGTTCTGCTATTTCATACTTCTACTTCTCAACATTTCAAAATGAAATAATGTACTTTTTACTCCACTAGATTTATCTGATTGCTATAGTTACAATGCAGAGTCAGATTTGACATTAAACACATCCCTTATCTGATTACTCGCTTGACCATTGCACTAGATAAGACTAAATAACAGTAAATACACTATTATTATTTTTTAAGATTCTTTAAATAACTTTTTGTCCATTATACATCAGAGTATAATAATTTTAATTGTATGTCCTTACTGTTGCTATTAAAGGAAAGTATCTTAATAGTTATCAGACCATTTCAAGTACTGATCACAATAGTTTCTACAAGTGGATAAACCACAAACTAAAATAAAAAACGAAAGGTAAAAAAGTTAAAACGACTAAATCATCAATGTATTGGTTTTAATGGTCTGTATGCTGAGTATTTACCACACACAAAGGTTTATTAACGTGGGTCTAGGTTAAACAAATCCCTATTCTTATCTCTACAAATTTGCGGAGAGCAACAACACAGGCACAAAAAAAGGGGGCAACCAAAGTTCATTATTTCCCCTAAATTGTTTGTCTAATAGAAACACTGGCGCTCGCTCACAGTAACGCATCCGCACATATGTAAAGTTTGTATCTGTACTTCATGAACACAGGCCGTTTCTACACTTATACATCAAAACCATAGCACACATCAGTTTTACTTAAAGTCTACTGAACTTTTCCTAACGTCACATTTACATGTACAACACGTTACTTACACGTTGATAAAGCAAATAAACAATCGATTACTTACCTAAACATTTTGATCTTTTAGTTGAATTCCTTTTAGGAGACAAAATACTTTCCTCTGCGCCACTGGGCGCGCGGAGACGGCACCGACATCTCCCAATCTGGGGCGTGGACGCGCACGGCTGACTGATGATCAGACCAAACCTCCCAGCGCGCGCCTCTCCAGTCCATGCTGGAGCTGTGTGATTGAAGCACGCCTTCGCTGCTATGTTTGTTAATGTTGCACATTACAGTGTTACAAATAAAACACACAGGTGGATACAGTTAACGCTAGGAGGCGTACCCTAACTGCCATAATGCTTGGTTTTCATCATATGTGGGAGAAGGTAAAGCCATAATGTCAGTTCTTAATGTTTCAATGGTTTACTGAAGTTACATGTCGAGCAGGTGGCACATTTAAGCTAAAGTAACAAACACATGCTAATGCTAAATGTGACATGTCTAAGTAAATGCGACTATCAATGGAGGGAGAAATAGTTATTCTCTTCTTATACCTAATTCATTAAAAGTAGCAATACTGCTCTGTAAAAATACTTTTGACATGCATTTATGAACTTGCTTAGGTAAAAATAAGCATAAACGTCAAATAAATAAAGATGAATAGCCTACATGTTGGGCAAAGATATACAATTGTATTTATCTTACAATTGAAACATTACTACTGATGCTTTAAGACTCAAGCAACATTTTACTGACAGGTAAAGGTGGAGCACCTTTTTAACTAACTTTGAACACATTGAACTTTTTACATCTACAGTTCCATTTCAACAGGGTAACCTACATCTGCCTGTGATAGTAGGATATAAAGCTCAAGAACAACTACTATGTAAATGGACATTAAGTTAAGATAGTTTGGCCAACAATTTTCCTCTCAGTAACTAAAAAAACAAAAAAAACATTTGTGAATGTAATTAGTTTGACATGCAAGTGTTTTACAATGTCCCGTTAGCCTGGTGTTAATGTGATATTCCTTCTATTTTGCAGAGCTTTGAGCATGGGTCTACAGATGGATGAGGTGCTGCAGGAAATAGTCAGGAATACGTCTTAAAGAGGTACAGTATGGCCCTTGCATACACTGTGCCTTTTCTCATACTGTACACTAATACCCTACATCCTGGTTTCCCTGCATGTGCCGCTCTGCTGGGGAAGATCCACACCACCCGCAGAGATAATTATCCCCTCTTCAACTGAGCATAAAAGACGGGTACCTGAGCGCAGAGCCTGCAAAAGCTGCTTAATGTTTGAGCAGTCCTGCCAATCTCAGGGATGCATCATTAGGTGTGTCTGTGCAGTATTCGGTGCAGAAGTTCGACTTGGCAGAAGAATGGATCCCAGAATAAAAAATATACATGTATTTTTAAACAACGCCAGCTTGGATTGAGAACAGAGGTCTAGATTCTCAAAGTTCCACTGAAACCTTTTCATCTCAAAATCATGATTTTGTACATTATAAATATTTCTACTTTTGCTGCTCACAGAAAAATGTGCATTGCAACTAGGTAAGACAGGTGAGTGCTATCCAGTAGGACAGGGGTGGCCAACCCGCGGCTCTCGAGCCGCATGCGGCTCTTTGCCTAGTTTCATGCGGCTCTTCAGTTCATATCGAATTGTATATGTGTGAGTTTGGGGGAGAGCCACTGACTCCTGACTAGTGTTGTACGGTGTACCGATACTTGAAAGGTACCGCGATTCCCTGCCGTTAAAAACGTTACTAATCCTCCGTTTCATTAGTATCGATACTTTAAGAATGACGGGGGAAAGTACTCCGGTGAGAAAGCGCCGTTTAATAAGAGCCGTGTATGATCAGCGCTCTGCTTCCATTCCCTGCACTGCAGCCGTGCCTGCAGTCCCGCCACTCTCAAGCACGCTCTAAGTCCCTCCCCTCTCAAGCACGCTCTAAGTCCCTCCCCTCTCTCATGCACGCGCTAGCTGCCAGAGCATGTGAGAAAACGAGAAGCATGGCTGCAAGTGGGAGTGCAACTGCCGCTGCGCCTCGGCTTGTTGACAAAAAAGACGCCAGAAGCGAAATTTGGAAGTATTTGAGCTATATCTCTGACAGTGAGGACAAGCCTACGGACACCACGAGGCCCGTCTGTAAGAAATGTATTAATTTTATTTAATACGAATTATTGTCATTTATTTTATTTATTGTTCTCATTGTTTAAAAGTTTGTGTTATGGTTCTGGGGTGAAATAAAGCACAATAATTACATTTAAGACTGTTTCCCTTTTTTTAAGAAAAGTATCGAAAAAGAATCGGAATCGCAATTCTTGACTTGGTATCGAAAACAAAATGTTGGTATCGTGACAACACTAGCTAGCTACTCCTGACAGTTAAACCTGATATTTAGTAGGTCTGTTAAGTATTGAATGCTGATCATTCTGACGTAATTTGGCCGGTCAAAGTTGTTTGGGCTCGGATAAAATCGCTCCGTTACTTTCGCTTCGTCCCGTGTTACTTTCGTCCCGGCTCTCCCTACGTGTGTATGTGTGGTGTCAGGAGTCAGTATGAGAGGATGACAGCGTGTCTAATTTTGATGTGACCCAAGAGCCAATCACAATAATACCTGTGATGCTGTGAACCAATCACCTTTGAGGGGGGGAAACCTATAGTTGATTAAACACTATCCAGTGTTTCCCCTACCATTGTCTTGGAAGGGCGCTGCACCCCGCCAACGGAGCCCCGCGCCCCCCCTGGAATTCAAGGTGTTTCAAAAATATATATAATTATTATTTTTTAATATATACATAGCACCAAATTGCAAATAATCTATAACTACTGTCACTTTTCACATTGAACATGTGCTCTTTTATTAAATAAACTAAACGCTTTCATTTTAAGTTGTGAGTTTAGTGTTTTTGACCCTAAGAAACACTGATGCATTCATCAATAACAATAATCCACAGCTCCTCTCTCTGCTCCAGAGGATTTAAAAAATATATATCCCAATGCCACAAAAATGCATCAGTGACGTGGTTGAAATCTTGTCTCCAGAAAACAAAAAACTGAAACAAGCGGTATCAGTGCCTGTGTGTTTGATGTGGCTCTTTGCAGTAAAATAGAAAAAAATTGGCTCTTAACCTCTGACTGGTTGGCCACCCCTGCAGTAGGAGTATTGCGCAGAGCAGGTCTATCAGCTGGTAATAGTGGATTCCTCCTGAGAGCGATCCTGTCATGCTGTAATTAAACTATTAGCTGTCCTTGATCCTACCGAGTTGGCCGTCAGGAGTCTAGGCTATGAAAAGGAATGTATTTATTTAGTACACTGAGTTCACAAAGAAACACTTTATTCATGGTAGAATGTTGTTTTTTCTTTGTAGAAATAGTGGCCTTAAACAGCAAACACACAGGTCTTTACAAGTCACCAAGGATGTTTTCATTGAGAAATACTGCAAGATAAAGGAATGATTGACACTTTTGGCAGCATCAATTGTTGGATCAGGAACTGTTTGAATTAGCTGAATGTTAATGAATAAGAATGATGGGAAATGCAGAGGGAACATAAAACAAGCACCAAAGCTATTGCTAAAACATACAGTATGTACAAATGATATAAACAGCAGAGAAACAAAGTATTAATAAAAATGCTTAGGGTTGTTGCATCTCCTCAGGATTTTTGATACTGAACTGAAAATCCTTCACTGTTTGACTGAATAAGTTATTTAATTATTTGAGTGCTGGCTCATTAAAATCCATGATTTCAGATGTTTTACAATAAAAAGATTACATATGAAATTATTTGGCAGATTGATAACATGCATGTGTGATATTATATGTATGTAATTTGTGAAGAAATCACAACATTAGTCCTTCCACTAAGGGGCAGTGATATGTAAGTTACAGAGTTTGGGGGAACATTCATTATAAATAAGGAAGAAGCCAGTGGTCCTATGGCTACATAACAGGTGGAGTTTTCTTGTTGAATCTGATGTTTCCACACCAAGCAGACGCAGCTTAACAGGAGCAGCCTTTAGTATGTTGGTAGGTTTACCCACCAGGCATAATTGGAACCAATGGATTGTATAGTAACAGAAATGTCCACCTGTTGTCTCCTCCAGAACCTGTGAGGGACAAACTGGTGTGCCAGCTGCAGAGCTGCTGTCGACAGGATGCAGCAAATGATGCATGGTTTCCCTACAACTCTTTATTTCACTTCCCATTATCCCGGGCATGCTTCTCACAGCATGGGTGGATTCATGACAGGCTGAGTTAGTGCATGTCTGTGCAGCTTTGCTTTGCTCTTAATATGGATTGCTTGAGTAAAGAGCACAGGTTGGGCCGTGTGCCTTTTGACTGATGGATGTGGAGGGAGGAAGCGGCCTGGTTTACCGTCCCTGTGGCCTTTCATGACATCTGTGGCCCTGTTTAGCTCTGCAGGCGGCAGGGGAGTTTACACATCAAGTGTGTGTATGTGTGATGGGGTGTCTTTCTTTAACAGATAGCTGAGGATGGCCTTTGAGAAGTGGTGAATCTAGATCAGCACTTTGATGATTTATCTATTTCTTGCTTTCTCTTAATCAGAACCAAACATTCTTCTCTGTCAGTGCTTGAAGACAGTCTTTGTGTTTCCTGTTGTTGACAGAGTGGCAGGCAGCACAAATGTATTTGTTCTCAGCCTGCCTGGCATGTGTGGTCGTTTAAGCGGAAAATCAATCAACTTTAACAATTTCTTGCAATCTTATTTCACATTATTTTGATGACTACGCTTCCTATTTAATTCAACGCCCAACGCTATATAATAAAGTGATGGTTCCAGCCTTCAGATGTTATCAAGTGTTTTCTATGTTCTTCATTCACCTTGCCTGAATTCACCCTCTCTCTCTTATTCTCTTGTATGGGTTTTATGCTTTACTTATTAAAACAGGAGACAGAAAAATGAGAATATGTTTGTTTGAAAAAAATAAATGTAGGAATTCTTGTCATCTCTTCCAAACAATATATTGGAAAAATATTTATCGGAGAGAATTGTTGTTCAAGCCCATATACAAGGTTCAAGGTAGAATAATAATGTATTGTCAAGTCTACACAACAAAATGCATTCTTAACCTATTGCAATATAGCTACACACGACGGTACACACAAAGTACCCCCTATTGTATTCTCTTTGCCCATCTTGTGTGTTTTGTGTG